ACTGAACCTTTAACCTGCAAACTGAACCTTTAACCTGCAAACTGAACATTTAACCTGCAAACTGAACATTTAACCTGCAAACTGAACCTTTAACCTGCAAACTGAACCTTTAACCTGCAAACTGAACATTTAACCTGCAAACTGAGGCCTGTAAAGTCTGAGATGGAGCTCTTGTTTTTTTGTTTGTTTTTTATGAATCTTGGCATTGTGTAATCTCTTTATGGTTTGACTTTTCTGGGAAGTTCACGTCTGTGAAAACTGGTTCCTGATGTTTTACTCAAATCCTTTGTTTTGCTGTTGTGTAACACATATCTGATTTTTCTCTGACAGTCTGTTCTGACATTTAAAGCCATAAAATTGAAAGTCAAACGATGGGCTTTACTTTAACAAATGTAATGAATTGTAGTCTGGAGTGCTTTCAACAACGGCCTCCTCTGAGTTTTACGTCATTCTCTTCTTTATAAGAATTTGAGGGTTGCAAAATGATATGCTAACAGCACTTTATTACACCCTGAAATCTGGAGGAAAACTACACAAAATTTCTGAATCATAAACATTTTTGGTTTAATTTTTGTGAAAAATATAAAAATAGGCACCTGTTTAGCACAAAATTCTCACATTAGTGACTTATACTATGGTATGATATACTCAGAAGGCTTTGTTGTAAGTGAAATGGTTACTCTACAATAAAACATCTTTTTAAACCTTGTTCCAGATGTTTCTGAAAAGCTGAAAGTAAAACAAAATATGGTTTAAGTGCAAATTCCTGGTGTTTAATTACCTCTAGGTGAGAGTCATGTCTTTCTTGTTTATCTCAACATTCCTCACAGAGTTTTTACCACCATCAGACCTGCTCTACTCTGCAGTAAGCTCCTGGACATGCAGGTGAACGACTCACTGGTCACCTGGATCAGAGTCTACCTCACAGGTCGACCACAGTATGTGAGGCTGCAGAACACCACCTCAGACACCATACGGAGCAGCACAGGGGTTCCTCAGGGGACAGTTCTCTCACCGTTTCTGTTCACCCTCTACACCTTCAGGTACAACTCACAATCCTGCATCTGCAGAAGTTCTGGATGACTCTGTCATTGTGGACTACATCACTGGTGACCAGGAAGCTGAAGACAGAGGTGTGGTGGACAGAACCACCTGCAGCTCAACGCTGGAAAAACTAAAGAGCTGCAGGTGGACTACATCCTATCAACATCAAGATTACTGAGGTGGACACTGTGGACTGCTACAAGTACCTGGGGGTCCACCTAAAAACTAAACTGGACTGGACAGCTATCAACAACGCCCTCTACAAGAAAGGACAGAGTCGCCTTTTTCTTCTGAGACTCAGGCCCTTTAACATCTGCAGGACCATGCTGCAGATGTTCTACCACTCGGTGGTCTCCAGCGTCATCTTCTATGCTGTGGTGGCTGGAGCAGCAGGGTGAAGAAAGCTGATGCCAACAGACTTGATAAGCTCATGAAGAGAGCTGGTTCAGTTCTGAGAGTGGACCTGCAGTCTCTGACAGGTGTCTGAGCAGAGGATGCTGAGGAACCTGCTCCAGATCCTGAACAACACGACCCTGGACTCTTACTGCAGACTGAGACCACCGAGGTGCTCCACAGAACAACACAGGAAGTCCTTCAAACTATTCAACTCCTCCCCCTTTCTACACAGAGGACAATAAAATGAATCCTGTCTTATACCTTAATTGTTGGTATTTTTATATTCTCTGTGATTTATTTATTTATTTATTTTTCATATCTTGTGTGATTCCTTGTGTATGTTCCTTTGTATTGAAACTTGCACAACAATTTCTTGCGGGATCAATAAAGTTCAATTTGATCTAAGATATGCACATGGCCTGTCAACTTCTATGGCAGAGGTTTTACCTAATCTCATCTTGTTCTGTGAAAGGACAAAGTTGTAGACACTTTGGTCAAACCTTAAAAATGCTGTTGTTACAGCGTATCAAAGCCCACAGTTTGGCAAAAGAGGAGATGGTCTACTCCCCAAATATATTATGTGAGAAAGCTATACTGTAATAAAACATAAATCATATCTACCACTTATTCAGGTAAAATAATCTTTATGCTTTTCAAAAGTTATGCTTTGAATATCTTGAGAAGATTGAGAAAGTGACTGAACTCTTTCCACATCAAACTTTAGCTCAGAGTCTATGAAATTTCACTGAGCTAAGTGAGCTTTGTGCTGCTTAAAGTCAATCAGCTATGGTGGCCATCTTGGATTGGATTTAAAAATTAATTCACTGTAGATGAACTTTAAATGATTATGTTCTGAAAGTTTCATTTAAATCTACCCAGTGATATGAGACATTTTTAATGTTACAGACTGGTGGGGAACCCTCAGAGCCTTCAACACCTTCAGAGAAGTCCTAAGAATTCAGCATATGAAATGTTATTGGATACTTGTTTCATATAAAATAAATATTTCAATATAATTTCCTAAATTGTATGTAAACAACTTAGCAGTTGAGAAAGATTTTTATTTTAGTTCATGAAAATTGAGTTTGATTATTTTAAGTTTTTGTCTCTAGGCAGAAACAGGAGGAGTTCTCATTGGTTAGGACTTCACTGTTGTTAGAGAAGGCTGAACGCAGTCAGAGTCCCTTCAAGATTCATTTAGGAAAATTAACCAATCAGAATGGTGGAAAAAGTGGGTCCAAAACACGGGGCCCTGAATATTTTAACCTCAGTAAGATACATTGATTTTCTTGAATTTATTTGTTTATTTTTTGTAATACATTAAATTTCAACCCATGAGTTCAAAAATCCACACAGAAACTGTAATAGCTCTAAAAGAGAAAGTTAAATATCAAATTTACATTCACATTAATTTTTTATATTAAAGTTTGTTTTGGTTCCATAGAAGCATTAAGATCTGTGGGTAATTGTTACATTTCAGTGTGAATTTGTTGAAATTACATGTTGTACTTGAACGCAACAGACTGTGTGAGCCACATGGCCTTCTGGGTAACCTTAGAATGAAAATGGGCAGATTTTTTCTGGGTACGTTCAGATGGGTTGTTCTGAGTTGACGTTTATATTCAATTAGTTGTTATTGACTGACATTTATTTACAGATTTACATTGTAAATGAAGGCTAAGCTCTTTTAGTCACCGTTTGTCTCTTCTACAGACAAATGAACATATGAGCCAACACATTGTTGCCTCCATGAGAAGAAAATAATGATGAACAAACAGATTCCACCATGAGCTCCAGTCTGATTCCAGTAAGTTCACGTGAACGCCACAAATACAGGAGCCTTCAATAATCTACTTAAACTAATCTCTGCCACTTTTAGACCCCCTTCACTTTGTGTAAAATCAAACGTCTCTGAGTTGCTCACTGTCAGACCAATCTAAACTTAAATCATTCACATTAAAACCAGCAGTGGATGATCAAATTCAAGTAATCAGTTTTCCTCTGATCATAGTCACGAGTTTTAATAAATGACAATTTGATGAAAAATAAAGGAAATTACAAAAACTTATTTCCAAATACAGTAAAATAAAATGAACTGCAGCCAACATGAAGAAAATGAGTGACGCAAAAAGAACGACTCTGAGCAGATTCTGTGGGATCGAATTTAAAATATGAAGGTCCGGATACAATTATTGAACATTTGTACGTTCCACTTTTTACAATGCAAAACAATTCTTTTTCTGTTCAGTGTAAAGAAAAATCAGCTAAATGTTCAGCTGTTGTGTTGAAATGTTCAGTTTGATGACACCGGAACAGTTATTTATGATTAATGTGATAGAATCAGAAATAACAGAGCTCCAGCACAAAAACCATCATAACTCACCCAGTTTGGCCTCAGTCCTTCTCTGTCCTCAGTCCTCTACTTTTCTATAGTGGGAAACAGTCAGACAGAACCAGTCACCGCTGACTGACCGACTGGAAGCTGGTCAGTAAATGTCCCTGTCCTCGCTCGCCCACCTCTTCCTCTTCCTGCTTTAATCTCCAGCAGATCCCTGAGCAGCAGCTACTTACTGCTCTGCCTAAACCTCAGCGTTAAGAGGAAAACTGTGGTCGACCACTAAACCTGTTTGATTCTCTTCAGAGTGGTGGTCCAATAAACATGAATCATGTTTTGTTTCATCACATCTGAATATCCTGTAAAACAAGTTCAAACACTATTGGAGGATTTATATTTTCTGTGAAAATGCACCGTGAACACCGAGATTGTGCAGAAATTTGTTGAAGAGGCTGAATCTTATTTGTTAAAAGTCAAAACAGATGGAAACTAAATTAGCAAAAAGGCTAAAATTTGCCAAACCAAAGGTAAAAGCTAAAAGTAGCTAAACTGAAGCTAATAGAACTGTAGCAAAGAAGTAACAATCGCTAAACATTTGTTGAATGTTAAAATTAGCTGAGCAGTAGGTCAATTCTTAACTAAGCAAAAACATTTCTACATTCTAAAAGTAGCTAAATTGTAGCCAGAAGTACTCAAAATGTTTCTAATGTGTAAAAATTGAAGTGTTAGGTAAAAGCAAAAATTAGCACAATGGTAGCTAAAAGCTAAATGTGACTAAGTGATAGTCAAAAGCTAAAAGTAACAAAACTGCAGCTGAAAGGTAAAAGGAGCAGAATAGTAGCTAAAAGTTTAATGTCAGAAAAGTATAGCACAAATCTAAAACTAACTTAATGACAGCTAGAAACTTAAAGTAGCTAAATGGTAGCTGAAAGCCAAAAGTAGCTAAATTAAAGCTAATGGTTGCAGAACTGTAAAAAAGGAAAAATTGCTAACTGTTTAATTGTTAAAATAAGCAGCAGTAGTTAAATTCTTAATGAAGAAAAAACATAGCTAAATGCTAAAAATAGCTCAACTGTAGCTAAACGTTAAAATTAGTCACAGTATCAATCAAGGTTGAAAATGGAAAAATGTTAGGTCAAAGCAAAAATTAGCACAATGATAGCTAAAAGCTAAATGTGACAAGGTTTTGGTAAAAAGCTAAAAATAGCAAAACTGTAGCTGAAAGGTAAAAGGAGCAGAACAGTAGCTAAAATCTTAATGTTGGAAAATAGCCCAAATCTGAAAGTAACCGTAAGGTAGCTATAAACTAAAAGTAGCTACATGGTAGCTAAAAGCTAAATGTAGCATAAGAAGACAAAAGAGACGCAGTTACATCAAAGCAGATTTTAAAAAAAGTTTTGAAGGAATCAGAGATTTCATGTGATTTGCATGAGAATTGTTTTACAGGTAAATATTTTAAAAGTACTGAAGTTACAAAGAGCAAAAATCACATTATTCCACATCAGGGTGACTTGCAGGGGTGTCAAACTAATTTCCACCGAGGGCCACATCAGCTGAATGGTTGCCCTCAAAGGGGCAGATGTAACTGTAAGACAGTATAAATGTAGCTAAATTTGCTCTGTTATAATATAAAACCCTTTTGATTCATTTATTATACAACAATCAGACCTTTAAAACTCTCACGGGCCACATAATATGACGTGGTGGGCAACATCTGGCCCGCGGGCCTTGAGTTTGACACGTGGTTTAGAGGAATGAGTGTTAAAATAACAAACAGAAAGCCAAAGTATTTAGAGTCCAACAGAGGGAAAGAAGAAACTGTAAACATACAGTCATGAATGCTGAGTCAGCGTTCACTTAATAAAGGTGTCAAAGGTAAACAAGGTGATTCATGTTTTCACTTTCTTCCATTTATTTTTCAATTTATATGCTTTCTTTATGATTGTCTGCTGTTGTCATCACTCTTTGTTAATTCAGGTCTCTCCTGTAAACGAGTCCTCGAGGCTCAGTGAGACTAACCTGCATAAATAAAGGTTGAACGAACGAATGAATGTTGCCATGTTTCATTTAGGACTCCAACAGGATTA